GTAGGTTATAATGTAAGTTTAAGAGTATTATCTACAAATTGACGAGGTTATTCCGATGAAAACAAGGCGAAACTAAATCGGTGCTGATTCGAACCTCTCGTCCTACGACGCAGCGTGACCGGCTTCGACAAGCTTTCCTATCGTTTGTTTATTTTCTGTTGAACTGTTTTCCCGGAACTACGACCGTCACTCGTCTCCTATTACCGAAAGTACGAGGCCAGTGTCACGAAACAGAAACGTTTCCAACGACTGTGAAAATAACTCTAATAAAATATGCATGTCAAAGATTTTAGCATGGTATTTTCACCGTTGCAAGCATTGTTTCTCGATATGACGCTATGAAAGTATACTTACAAAGCTGGTATTTTAGTTCATCAAAGACAAACCTTCCATTGAATTGTCTAGTTCATCGCGTATGTTATTTATTACATTATCACAGACGAACTGAAATACGAACTGATAAATCGCGATTGAAAGCACAAGCGCTACGGGCCGTTTGCCCATCAACACTAATTCAGTGAATAGTTTCTCGATTGACCGCCATCCATGAGTAGAGAGCGCTGAAATCACCTCTCAATTTTTAAGTCGGTATGGCAGTTACTTTGAGCCACGAAATTCGAAATTTATACCTCGTCTGTGGTACAAATTCTTGGGGGTCAACCGATAGACAGAAAAAAGAATGCCCCCCAAACTATGTCAAATGGAACGTTATACAAATTTTTAATTACTCAAATAGCTCTTACTAGAGCGAATAATATGTACTTCGACCATTTTTCTTTATTGTAAATAGTTAAAGAATTATTTTAACTTGTTTCGATTTTATTTACGAAATGTACGCTTTTGTTTAAGTTCGATAATGATTTAATGTTTTGTCTGCAATGTTATTCTTTGTTATATTTTCCAAGGAAATGAATAAAAAACATTGCCCCATTTTTTTAGCTTCTCTGAGTTAGTCTCCTTGTATCGTTTAATATAAAAAGGATTCATTAGATATGCTTTGCAAAGCCGTATCTTTTATCGGAATTAAGCAATTCCGAATACAATACAGTGTTTGTGATACTAATTACGATGAAAACCTGCGTTTCAAGTCGGAGCTAATTCGAGGCGGCGCTAATTTACCGTTGTATTTGAACATACTATTAGACACGCGTGTGCTGTGTGTAATATTCACGAGCAGATTCACGACTGGATGCCACGGGTAAAACATTGCTTGGCCACTTGAACTTAGAACTGTAAATCGTACCGTGGCGTATACATGCATCACAAAAGAATGGACGATCCTCGTACTTGCAATTACGAACTGTTGCTACCACAAGTTTTCTGCAGCGTGTTTACACAGCAGTCACGGTCCATTTTCGAGGAAATTCAGAAGAACTTTACACCTACAGATAATTAAAATATAATGACGTCGTCTCAATCCTACGAAAGATTATGGAATTCTTTATCCAATATAATACAATTTGATCGAATGAACTCCAAAAACTTTGTTTCTACATACCATAAAATTTCATTGACGTAATTTGCATAATTTTTTGGATAAATACAATGCAATATAATTTTCAGGTTTTTGAAGAGCTACTTTTTTTAATGGAACAAAGGATTCATTATTTTCTTGAAATTAAAGACGTCGAAAAGTTTACTGAATATTTAAGATATAAAAATGTTAATATAACTGATTAAAGGGAGATTCTTCGATGATCTGTAGCTCCCATAATTTTCATTATTTTTACATACAAAAAATACTGTATATACACGAAACATCAACAAATGGGAGATTCTAGAGGCCAAAATAAGACGAAAATCAAGAATACTAATTTGTTGATGGAGGTTTCGTTAAAAAGTTATTAACGTTTAAAGTTCCGCTCGTACCGAATTTTTTTCTAGAAAGTGGGTAGGATTTCGAGGGTACGTCTATTCACCAAAAATGCTTGTAATTGACCCCTGAAACTAAATATAATTTTTTTAGTATGATTTGAAATTTTTTAATATCGTCTAAAAATTTCACACCTTCTCGAATTTTTTTCTCGAAAATGGGTAGGAATTCGAGGGTACGTCTATTCACCAAAAATGCTTGTAATTGACCCCTGAAACTAAATATAATTTTTTTAGTATGATTTGAAATTTTTTAATATCGTCTAAAAATTTCACACCTTCTCGAATTTTTTTCTCGAAAGTGGGTTGGATTTCGAAGGTATGTCTCTTCACCAAAAATGCTTGTAATTGATCCCTGAAAATAAATATAATTTTTTTAGTATGATTTGAAATTTTTTAATTTAATTTGTTAATAACTTTTTAATGAAGCCTCAGTCAAGAAATTTATATTCTTGATTTTCGTCTTATTTTGGCCTCTAGAATCTCCCATTAAAATTTTTCCCAGGGGTGACCGAACACCCTGTATGTGCAAAATCCCAATAGGAAACGGTCTACCCTTTTTAAAAAGAATAACAAAATAGGCCCGAAAATTCCAACCGTACGGCGGTGGCAATCTAGAAGAAAGGAAATGACGAGTTGCATCGCGATGTTCCTGTTACGGCGTCGATTCCAGGAAGGCTGGTCGGTTCAGTGAAAAACGTGAGTTCGAAGAGTAATCGATTTCCGATCCAAGGTGGAGAAGAAGTGGTCGCGTAAACGTCTGCGCGTAATTATACCGTAGCGTCCAGTTTCTCGAAAGGGTCCTCCGTCTAGGAGGTTTCGTTTCGCGCTCCCGAACCGGAGGATAAAAGTAGAACGATGTGTGAGGTCTCCGCCCCACACCCGCTTCTACCCATCGACACCGGCGCTTTGTTTCGGATTAATGAACCGCCCAAATCCGTATTGCGTTACGCCGTATAATCACTCTGTAACGTGAAACTAAATTACTGCGAATTTGGACCACATATCCATTCGCTCGACCGTCGCACGGTTATCATCGTCGCGTTTATTTCCACTGGCTATTTGGCACGAGACCTCCGCGAGTCCTCGCATTATTTCGTCATTTCCGTTGCGTTTCTACAATCGGAAGTACACGCGTGTATTCCTTGGTCCACGATGACTTTGTGACTTTCATGGCCTTCTAGACTAACAGTAATAAACAGAAAACTTATTCAAAGCTTTCAATTTAAACATTAATTTGTCATTAGATTTATAGTTAGTGAAAATGGATTAGACGAAAATAAGAAATAGGGGACGGAATCATGCTCACAATTGCACGAACAATTGAAAATAATTGCGTCAAGTTTCCAATGCAACATCTCATTTTTCTAACGTTCTAAATAATATAAATAGTTGAAGAAAATCGGAAGTACACGCGTCTATAGCTTTCCTTGGCCCACTGACTTTGTGGCTCTCATGGCCTTCTAACTAACACTAATAAACAGAATGTCTTCTCCTAGTTTCGTTTATAAGATATTTTATCCAAACGTACGATTGTTATGTACAGAAATCTTCTATTTTTCAGAATTATATACAGTAACCCAGGATTCACAGAGCTCGATTCATGCAAAGTCATTGTACATCAGTCATCAGTCACTGCGAATTAAAACAATAATATACCAAATTTACATTGTACATGAGTATATGTCTGCAATACAAAACATAAATGCTACAATTGTTGTTACCCTTTTTTAAGATTTATGTCGACCAAAAGTTACTCTGCATCGTCGAAAAATACATGTAAATAGCGACTGTTGAATAGATAATTGCGTTCTGTGAATCTGAGAATCACAGCTTAGACTGGTCTTATATAATAATATAACGTAATATAATAATAGAATAACGTTCTTATTAACCCTAGCCCAGTCAGAACCGAGTCGTTTTAGTTGCGATCGCGCGGGCGGTCGAGCGAGGGTTAACGAGCCATTTCACGGTTAATTTGTTGTAATTGCCAAAGAAGCGTACCGCGTTCGGTGTGCGAACAGCGGTACGATTTGACGGCTCAGCGTGATTTACGCGTCAGAGATAAAGAGTCCTCGATCAAAGCGCGCCTCTTATCCCGGGGACATATCGAAACGTTCGTAATGCAATTACGTTTCGTCTCCGTTTAAACCTTTCCCCGTATTCTTCGATGGCCAACATTACCCGCTGTCACGTCATTCGAAACAGAAATCTTTATTGCTTTGCCACGAATCAAGGCAGATTGCAATCTTTTGTCTCCTGTCGCGACTTCGCCGCGAGAACGATTCACCGAAGTATTGTTCTCTTAACGATCAACCGAAGCGGATAAATTGCACGAACTGTCTATGCATTTGTATTGTGAAATTATTGTTCCGTTTTCTGCCGTTCGACAACTTAAGTATTGACCGTGTTACATTTTGCAAACACCAAATTTTGTACCAGTCGTATCAAAAATAGAGTTTAAGATATCATGGAAACCGGTTAAAACAAAAAATTAAAAAAAAAAAAATGCATTAAAAGTTTTTAATTATTTTCGTAAATTGAAAAAATTATGAAATAAACAAGGAATTGGGGCGCAAGATTTTGCACATACATATTTCAAACATATTAGAAAAAAAATTGATATCTAGAAGGTTTACAGTAGAATAGTCGATTAAGTATCAAATAGGTATCGATATATTCTTGAGATATCGATGCTAAAGATATCGAACGAGTATCGATATTTTTTGAGTATCGATTCTTTCTGATATTCGTATCTTTGATACGTATCGATACTGGATCGAAATTTACAAACTGGTATCGATAGAATTGATCCAATTACTAAGTAATACCAAGTATAAATAATACCATAATGCAAGTAGTACCAAGGTATACGTGGAAACATAGAAATGATATTGAAATAAAATTCAGATTCCCTCCATCCTGTTTAGTTCTTAAAACACGACACTATCAGCGTTGTACAATGGCTCGCTAAAAGTTCTGGGGTTACCCGTCTACCTGATAATTATTTATATATTATCTACGTAATCCATATTATGTTTATATTTTCATATATGCAAAATTTGTCGGTACACTAATAATGATATCCACGGTTTATAGAACAAATTAAAAAACAGGTTACAATTGTTATTTTTGTTAATACAAACTGAACGAATACGTCTACGCTGATTCATGTTCTCGTAATTGTGTGCATGCATTGCGTATAGTAACACGTGCTTTCATATATCCACATTTCTGTGTTGACTTTGTATAACTTAATATCGTAATAATTATTTACAAATAAATAAAATTGTGCAATTAACACTGCAGTTTGCACATTATTCTACAGATATGTAAATTAAAGACAGTAAGGTTAAAATGAAGATCAATTTTGTCTCTAACAGAATTTCTAAGTAACTAAAAACGTTGTTACATTTATAATATATTTTCTTAATTTTCAAGCAATTAGACAATGACTTTTTAATTTTCTTTACAGAATTGGTACAATAATACACAACTCCGATTCATTTAGGGATGCTTCAACTACTAAAGATAAATTTGCGCATTAATTTTACAAGCCGTTCTTACAAATCAGTTCGTTTCAATTCCATGATGTCTAAGAACATAGTTGACTATAATATAATATCAATGCGTCAAAAGAAGAAGATAAAAATGTTGACCCATGATAATTCCAATCTAACGTTACAAGTAATTGAAACATTTATATTAAAACATTTTTATTTAATGGTCCATTACTATCCATAATGATATTTACTTCGTAACTGAATCGTTAAATATTTTTAAAATTGAGAACTGTCAAAATAGGTACTTGGAAGCGGAGCTATCGGAGCCCCATGTTCTATATTTGTTACGGCTGACCATGTTAATTATATGTTTAATTGCGGAGAAGGAACACAACGATTAGCCCATGAATATCACTGTAAACTATCTAAATTGGATCATATATTTGTGACAAGACCTACTTGGAAAAACATTGGAGGAATCCCAGGTATACTTTTGACAATACAAGAGATTGGTGTACCTACGATGAATATTCATTGTTCGGAGGGAATGAATGATTTGTTGGACTCGCTTAAACAATTTGTTCGTCTGTCAAGTATGAGAATTGTTCATGCTCCTATCGATGAATCAAAACCGTACGAAGACAATGTAATGACAGTCTGGTACGTTCCTATATCAAAGGCTGTGGGAAGCATCATCGATGACCCTATAGAATTGAGTACTGAAAGTCAGAATCATTTGAATATAAGTGGTAAAAGAGTTATGAACGCCGAAGAAACAGAAGAAAATTGTAGCCAAATAGAGAAGAAGTTAAAGATCACGCCGAATGTAATATGTTACATTTGTGAAATTAAACCAAAACGAGGGAAATTGTCAATCAACAAATGCATACAATTAGGTGTAGAAGCTGGTCCACACTTACGGTTACTAAAAGAAGGAAAAGATTTTACGAGGGAAGATGGTACAGTTATTTTGAGTAAAGATGTTTGCACACCGGATGGTCCAAAATTCGTCTTCGCAGGTATATAGAATGTTTATTTAAACTTACAATAGGTTAGTCATCGGGACAGCCTGTGTTGATTTTTCGATACCAAAAGTTCCATTGGCATCTGCGAAATTCAGCTTCCTTTTCTTGGCAGTTGTACCTGGTTTTTGTTTTGTAGCATCAATTTGCCAATCAGATGAAGGAGAATTGAACGGTAGATTCGCACTGATAACTTGCGGTTTGTTAGATGCCATCTTCAAGCTAGCCACCGATAAAAATCGGGAAACTGGTCGAAAGGTTTTACACAATAGTCAATTTAACAATTAGACGTTTTCCTAACGTTTGGAATTTAAATAACGAATGTAGACTTCAAGTACGGGTAAACGCTCGGTATGTTTACTAACTCGCGCGGCTCAATGCTACGAACTCACAACAAAACCTTGATAGCCGTTTATTTTGGAGAATAAAGAACTTACGTCTAAGGCTGAGACTACACAGGCGTTTTGTACGTCGCCTACAAAACGTCGTAAAAAACGCCTGTGTAGTCTCAGCCTAAGATCCAATGTTGACATTCAAATTCATCTCCAACTGCATGAAATAAGTAAGAAGTGATATTATTTCATTCGTACTCTGATCTGATGTTTGGCCAGCAGGAAATATTATTTTATTTTATTTAATCCAGTGCAAAAACATTCTGTGCTACTGGTTTAGAAATTATTTATTTAGAGTATTTGCCTTTTTGTATTTTTTCAGATTTAATATAATTAGAAATAATGATAATTTCTTTTTAATAACAGTGCAATTAACTGATTAATATGTTTAATTTGGGGTTTTGAACGAACATGTTTTTCACAGTTTATTGACCTAACTTTCAGTTGTAGAATGTCCTATGGAAGAATACTTGGATTCTCTTGTGAATCATCCTGCTTTTTCAAAATACTCAGTACCAAATCTGGAAGATGGTGGCATTGTCTGTATATTTCATTGCACCCCTGAAGCAGTTGTCAATAATGAAAAATACCAAGATTGGATAAATACGTTTCCACAGAGTACACAACATATTTTGCTAAATGATGAAAATTATTGTATGGGTAGTGAAGCTGTTTATAAGAACCAGCATATACTTAATTTGTTGCATCCTGAAATATTTCCATTATTGAAAGAAGATTGCTTCAAAAAAGATAAGAACGTAAGGAATTTATAGGTAAAATATAGTTCAAATGAAAATAATTACTTAGGAATTTTGTAAATTTAAAGAGTAAATATGTTCTTCAGACCGAGAAAAGTAATATCCATCGTGGAAGGACAATGCAAACGTTAGATGTGCTTCCATACTTCAAAAGAATGAAATGTATCGTTTTTTCAAACCCTGATAAATACATCAACGAAATTTTTAGTACTCCCGAATTTGAAGACGAGTTAACAAAATTGAAAAAAAATATTAAAATAAAGACAGCAGAACTTGAATTATTAGACACGCCTGAGTACCCACGAATTGTTATGTTAGGTACTGGTTCTAGTATACCAAATAAAGTCAGAAATACAAGTGCTATTCTTTTAAGAGTTGACGAAAATACGAGCATATTGATGGATTGCGGAGAAGGTACTTTTAGTCAAATCATTAGACTTTATGGGACTTCGAATGTTGGTGACATTTTACGTACTATTAAGGTACATATTTTTTAAAATTCATTTCGTCGATAATCCATTGGTTGATTTAAGGATTCATGATTAATTCTGTTTTTAGGCTGTTTATATTTCACATTTGCACGCGGATCATCAGATAGGTCTTGTTGGTTTACTGCAAGAAAGAGGGAAATATACGGACGATAAGGTCTATTTGATAGCACCTGGTCTCATTTTGCGATGGTTAAATTTATATCACAATCAATTTGAACCTGTTTCGCAGTTTTATAAATTAGTGGACAATTGTGATTTGTATTTAGGCTCGCATAAGTTGCCTCTAGTCTATGAGGAGTCGATATATAATGCATTGAATATTAAAGAAATAAATACCATTCATGTTAAACATTGTAAATTTTCATACGGTGTCGCTGTTACTCTGAAAGATGGAAGAAAAATCGTTTACAGGCAAGTCAAATGAAAATATGTGCAATTCTTTAAGCGTAGTTAATAATATTTTAAAAGAACACAAACAAATAATTAATTTTCATTATATTTTGATTTCAGTGGTGATGCCATGCCTTGTGACAATCTTCTAACCTTAGGTGAAGACTGTGATCTATTAATTCACGAAGCAACAATGGAAGATGGACTACAACATTTGGCAAGAACGAAATCACACTCGACAACTTCCCAAGCGATAAATGCTGGAAAATCAATGAATGCAAAGTTCATCTTATTGACTCATTTTAGTCAGCGTTATTCTAAGATTCCTTTGCTTTCAGGAGAGGAAGTAAATGTCGGCCTAGCTTATGATAATATGGATATTAAATTATGGCAACTGCCATTGTTGTCTTTATTTTATCCGTGCATAAAACTTATGTTTAAGGAATATTACAAAATAGCAGATAATCGAAGGAAGAAAAGGATGATGGTAGCAGTCTAAAAATTATTTATGATCTGAACAATATTACTTTGTTAATCATTAATAAATTTTAATTTATTTAAATTAAAAAAAAATTATACCTTTTATAATTTGAAATTGTTTACTTTCTTGATACAATTACATAACCGATTCCATTATTAACGATAAGTAAATGCTATGTAATGTTAAAATGAAAGGATGAAGACATTAATAATGTATATAAAACAAATTTTTGATAGCAGAATTTATTGCTTACATAAATGCATTTAGTATATCCCGCTTTCCTCAATGTGATAAATAATGTAAATTACAAATTGTTTCATTAAAATTACGATTGTGTAATATTAACCTCGCTTATATATGTATATAAAAAAAAAAAAAGAAAAATAGAGAAGAAGGTCAACTATGATATAGAAGATAAAAAAAAAAGTAAATGGAAAAATAATTTCTCCTTTTTTGCGAAAGCAAAATGTCGGTTCATTTCGAAAATATTAAAATAACGAAAAAGGGAAAGCTTTGTATATTGATCGATTAATCAATAAGTCGCACGTTCATCAAATCTGTACTAAATCATATGAAATTTAATTTCATCCAAAAATAGTTCTAAAAAAGTTTCATCCATTACGTAGTTCGCGGAATGTGTATTTGTAATGTAGAAATAGCATGGTCTCAAAATACACATATTAATTCGATTATTACATTGATTTTGTAAAGGTATGTACACTAGATAGCAAGTTTACACTAACGATGAATTTGTGCGTTTACGTTAATAGTATATGATTGATTAATAAAAAGTAAATATGTTCATTTTATGGAATGATTAGTTTTCTTAATTGAAATACTATTCTGCTTATTGACATACCTCGGAAGTATGTTGTGTAGTGCATGAACATTTTTCATAGGTATTCAAGGAATAGAATAGGAGTAGCAATAATAATTAATGTAAAGACTAGAAAACTGAATTTTTTTTTAACACAAACGATCGGCCAGATTATTAATATTTTTCGTTTTACTACGTTACTTCCACTACTATTTATACCTCGATTAAAAATATAGTGTATTTGAAAAATTTCGTATGTTTGAGCATTATAAAATATTATTAAAAATTGATAAATAGATTGTTGCCGTTAATGGATAAACAGCCAATAAGTTGAGCGTTATGTATTGAGAAAATGAAGTGACCCAAATAAAAAAAAAATGAGATTCGTGGAAAATAATTCCAATTTACACGACTAAGAAAACAATTCAATTACTTAATCACGAAGAAATAATAAAGCGATCTTAAAATCTTTTTTTACTTAAGGAACAGTGTAATAACCACTAATTACTCTGCAATCATCAGTCTTATACAATATTTCGTGAGTAAAGAAAGTTATTAGTTAAAAGTAATATAAAAAAAATCGTAGGAAAGTCAATTCGACAATGTACTCCTAATTAAGTACTTGATAGGAGCTCTTCCTGTACTTATAAATATGATATTAGATTACATTCAAAGCTATAAAAAGGGGCAGTGGATTTTAACCATATTCTTTTAAAACACCGATCGAATACTTTCGTTCTAACGTTCATTTTAAGTAATGTCTTTCATTCCTAATAGTTTCATACCTTATAAAATCTTTCATTAGATCGTCGTTTATAAAATTACTTAAATCGTGTTATTTGCCTTTTCGTTGCTAAATTTAAATATTATTTTTTTTTCTTTAAATGTATAAAAACAGAATGAATTCGAAACGTGTTTGAAAAGAACACAGCTTTTACATGGTCATTGTTGATTAGAATTCCCATTTTGTAGCAGTTTCGTAATCTGTTTCTCCCAAACGCAGCGCTCCATTCTTTCCTGCTGTAAGATATCGTCCGTCGGCGTGTTTAATACAAATACGAGAAGGTTCTCGTAATTCCAAATAAAAACCATCGGATGGTATATCGGAATCCACGTTTACTCCTTCGCTATCTGCATGCCAATACTTTCCATTTTGACCTATGGTACAAAATTATTAAGAACACATATTTTTAATTTAAAAAATATCTCAAATACAATACTACGCTCTGTATACATAACTTGCAGTGCAAACTATTATAACAAATCTTTGAGTAAAATTGAAAGTTTGTTTCGTATAAATTATATGAAGACTATCGGAGGAATGCGGAGAATGTCCATAATCTCGGTCCAAATTTCTTCGTATAACCAATTTAACTGTAACTTCATATATTGATAGATTTTGGCACATGTACATAATAAAGAAATGAATGTATACAAATTTTGATTCAGTATCTGTAAAGAATAGTTATATGAAATTCTACTTAGCTCAAGATAGACATGATCTTGTTGGGAACAAATTGGCAACTGCTAGAAAAATGTCACATTTATTTCAAATTTAATACGAGAAACCAATTCAGGCATTTTGACACCTACCTTCTTTCTCATTCACACTTAATCACATTGATGGAACTAATTTCATTTTTTCTTCTTCACACAATTATGATTGGTCTTTCTATTGATACTTCACTAAAACTACTAATTTTCGCCATTAGAACCCCATATTTTTTGTATTTTGTTAAGTTAATTTGTAGTTCTGGAAATTCTACTACTGTGCAGCCTGACTTGCCTTTATAAACTGTTATTGTTACGTTAAAAAGTGTTAGATTTCCTGAACGTTTAAAAATGAAAGAAAGTAAATTCCACAATCGGTGCTGATACCCAGCAACTTTTTGGAAGAAAAGAAAAGTCCTACAACAATGGTACGGCGTAACTTAAGCCAAGCAAGTGCAAAGCAGAGATTCAAACAGATCAAACTATTTCTTTTTTGGCAGGAGAAACCAAAATTATGGTTCGTATTGCAATAAGAGAATGTGCAATAAGATGTGCGGCGATAGTTCGCCATCTTGACACAGCTATCGTGAAAATGACAGCGTACATTATAGCTGCCCCCTAACAGTAAGATTGACCACGTCTGAAGTGCAGTTGCAAAAATAACAGGCTCGGGTTTAAACAATAAAATATCACCGGGAAAGATACAACCAGCAAAAATGTGCTTCAAATACTTTAGCTGCAGAGACTTCTTAGAAAATTCCAGCTACTGTAGGAGTCGAATTGAAAAAATTAGCCAAACTGATATACCGCGAATAGTACTTTTCATTTAGCAATAGATGACCACCACAATTCATTCTGGCGTCCCTGTTTTCACCCCAATAGTCTTCATATTTAGACGTACTTTTTCACTTTGTACATTGAGACTCAAGACTGTACAACCTTATACTATAAACATGCAAAGCATTTCATTTTAAAAATCCTTCAGATAATCTTTTACCTTTAAATCTAACGATCCCGCGCTCGCATCTCTCCACTCTGATGGTCTCATAGATAGCTTTATTGCATTCTAGTTTCGAACTAGATGAGCTTTTAGGTCCCACGAATCCTTGTTCACAACGCAAAACCAAAACGGGTCTGTTCATCAAATAAAAGTAATATTTGCTAGTATCCGAATCCGACCCGTTTACGGAATCTGCATTTGCATAGAGATGCCCGGAGCGTTTAGTTGCCAAAAATTTTCCATTGTTTGCGCGCAAAGCCACTGTACCATCCTCCGATTGCCAAATCAAATCGAACAAAGCATTGGACGAACGTTTATGCTCCGATGCCTGAATCCCTCCTCCAGCCTCAAGGCTCCAATAACGATCTTGCATGGTACGCACGTACCACCTTTTAGTTACACGATCAAATTCTAATTGAAAAGTTTCGTGTCCAGAGATTTCATCTTGATTAGCTGTTACATCAACTCCTAGAACAGCAATGGATTTATTGCTACCTACATGGCTATTCAAGAGCACCTTGTACATTGTTTAAAGATCTAAAAAACTGAAACTTCTGATCGAATGTTAAGAACTGATATAATTTTACTTTTTGATTGAGAAGAGAGCTTCGAATGAAGTAGAATAACATAGAGTGATTTTTAATGTGATGATGAAAAAGTAAATAGAATGTCCCCTTCGAGGTTTAGTTTTCGAGAAAACCGGGCTTGCAATTCGACTGCGTACATTTTGCATTTACACTCATACACGAAAGTATCTAAAATACCTTGTTTCACGGAAACGTATCGTTGATTTAGAGCAGCTACGAATGATGCTTGCGGTAGCGATTCCTCCAAAGAGAATAATTCGTCTCGTGTTACTGTCGTTGATCGTGATTTTAAGACAGCCTTGCTTCCAATAGGCGCCAAATATGCTCCATACAAATCTCTTTAATTAATGAAAACTCATTGTTATGCATCGGAATCATTTTAAAGATTGATTATTACGTTTCCCTAAACAATTTAAGGATCGTCTTATCCATAGACACCATTCATTGAGTATCTGATGCTTCAAAAATATCTAATTACACAAGACGGTCCACTTATTGCGACCGGAAATGCGTTAGAAAAAAGTAAAGAGACAAAGCTTTCGAGAAATGAATTTTGTTCCATTTCAGTTGCTGAAATTTCAAGGTCATCGACGTTCCTGTTAATTCTTACAGACTTTGTGGAGAAAATATATATAAATATATAGCATTTGATTGCAAATACGAAGTTTATGCATTACTGTTAAGATGACTATCATATTAACCCTCGCCCAGCGGACTCCGGGTCCATTTTGACTCATGAAAACTGTTCAGTTAATTATGCAAATTAGAGGATTCATTACATACATTTCAATTACGATACATTTCGTTTTAAAATAATACTAATTCCATTACCGTGTGGCAAAGTAATAAATGATGTACATGAATTAATAGCAACAACAGTTGGAAAATAATTTTAGCTAGCTTCCCGAAGCGCATAAACCATCGTGGGTTGATGTAACAAAACAGAACATGCGACAACGAAAACACTATGACCGTTACAATCTAATAGAAAATCATCCTAGTATTATTAATGAATACGTAGCTATAATATAACCTTAAAATGACCTTGACTATTTTTCGTATTAAATGTCATGTTATGTATCATTGCATTTAACTTGATATCAGTTACAACGTCACAGCGATAAAAATATGTAATTCCGTTTAAAAAAACGTGAATGATGAGAATAAGAATCTCTGCTGCTGCTGGATAATAAATTACAAATGGAGAATTAGATTCCGCGTATAAGGAGTGTTATCTTTCCTGATTTAAGTGCTACAAATATGACGAAGACAATAATTTGCGCAGCAAAATGGCGGCTCACAATTCCGAACAATGGAGACGTCGTAGCGCATTTATCCAACCGTCGTGAAAGAGTAAGATGCCTTACTATTATTATAATATAGTCCTTTAGTAATATAATGCTGTTATAATAAAACAATGAAATGAATATTAATAAGACTGACCTGAGCGCAAGTAATCCAGCGTGAAACTCGGCTGCATAGAGACAGTCTCGTGTACAGGAATCCAAAAGTTTTCCATCGCGTGCCAGATATTTATTATTGCAAGTATGGAGAGCATAGTGTCCACCCTCAGATTTCACATGTTCTTGACCATTATCTTCTATAGAGATAGGACGAAACTCTAAGGTAAAGAGGGTATCCTCTCCCCAAGGTACTGGTGCATCCACATGAATTTCATCTTGCGTCGCACTCAAATGAGCAAAACGTTTCCTTCCAGCAGATTTTAAATTTACCTAGAGAACATAGTTTCCTTTTTGAGCTGCATTTTAAGATCTGTTTTTTTATTTTCCTTGTTTATAATTAAATAACACTAAAATAGTATAGTAATACTATAGCAATTCTGAGTCTACTACATACATTTTGTCATCAAATTTATGAGGATATCATATATAAATTATATTTTCTTAAATTATTTTAGGGATCAAACAGACTCTTCAAGGTACATGTATTATCATTTCTAGCCAGACTACTGAAGACTTAATACCTACATAAGAAGATAAAAAACTATGGAATTTTCATTTGTTGATATCTAAAATATAACTTACTTGAGGTCTAGCTGCAAGATGCACAAGCCAATACTCAGCTTCTCCTGGAGCTTTGGCCACACATTTAAGTTCATCTTGACTCGAGCCTAGGAAATATCCTCTCTGAATATTCTTCAAAGCCCATCTTCCGCTTCCTAATTTGTAAATTAAACAATATTAAATTATGTACCAGTGATTATTTTTTTATGAAAACAGATGGATATTCTTTTTTGTAACGTGTAAATTAACTATATCTGAAATGAGTATAAAATCTTATACATCCTTTCCATGTCCTAAATCCATATGCAATAGTACTTCGATAAAACTTAGAAGTCGGGGACCGCTCGTTACATTTTAACGGAACAATAATGCAAATTTGGTTCCTATAATCGGTCTTTTTTATCTCAAGCTAAAAGTGTCTGATGTGTGCTAATGGCTATAACCCAATAACCGCGACAAGCTTTAAAGTTCAACCAACCGAGTTTTAAACTCACCGTGTTGTAAACAACGACCTATATTTTACCGAAACAGAATTTCACGTTTTATCGAAGCGTAACTGTACATCGGATGGTTGTATTATTTTTGTAGTTTTCGTAGAACCGGTTTTAATAAAATTTAAATTATACACAAAATATTTTTTGAGGCGCCACAATTAGAGGAGATATTTAGATGGCCTGGTATAGGTGAGACACCCTGTATAAAGTAAATCTCTCGCTAATTTCCGAATTCCTACGCACTTTCGAGAAAAAAATTCGAAGTGTGAAATTTTTCGACGGACAAAAAAAATTTCAAATCGTTTTGGAAAAATTATTTTCGGTTGCGGGGGTCAGTTACAATCATTTTTGGTGAATAGACATACCCCCGAAATCTTGCGCATTTTCGAGAAAAAAATTCAGTACGGACGGAATTTTAAACGTTAATAACTTTTTAACGAAGCCTCCATCAACAAATTGGTATTCTTGATTTTCGTCTTATTTTGGCCTCTAAAATCACCCATTAAAATTGTTCTGTATGTCATTGAAATTTGCTGGACCAGTTTCAACAGTCTTTACAGCATTAAATTGTAATGTTTTGCTTATAACTAGACTGCGGATATTTATGCATTTATGGGAAATTTAGATTGTCAAAAAACTATAGAATGCATTTAATATGCAAAAATATAACAAAAACTCAAGTAAGATAAGAATTATTGTATTTAGGGGTTGAAAGAACCCTCTACGAAGCTCTTATTTTATTAATTTTATTAATAAATATATGAATTTGCATAAAAATCCGCAGTCTACTTATAACATACATTGATTTTCTGTTTCTTATTGTTCCTTAATTAATTCTTAGAATTTCTTTAATATTATAAAATTAATATAATATAATAAAATAGTAATATTCTTATAGAAATTTCGTCCACTGTAGAGCACTGTCAGCTAAGATTCAGACTTTGACACTCGACTCGCGTGTAAATTTTCAGTCAAACACTGCGGTTTACACACTGCACTGGATGCGTAAAAGCAAGAGGAATGCATGCATAAACAGCAGATATTCTTATCCTATACTTGTCGCAAAAATAACATATTTCAAGGTCACTGTGATTTAGATAGGACACTGGCGGCGTCAAAAATAAGCAAACTTATTTCGGGAATGTAGATATTCCGCGACTTTCACCGCTATCGCGCACGATATCAAAGGAAATGCTATTGTAGTGATGTCAACACTATCAGAATTACGTTTGTGCTACTGCACAAGATTACAAAAAACGGAAACGTCTAAAAACTATGCTTTCCCTTTATGTAACAGAAATAAATCGAATTAAAATTATTCGGTGCGAATTAAATACGTTATCACGCGTAAACGTGGAAATATGGATATAAATGTAGAAAATTGTTTTTGTAAAATCAGACATAAAAAATTGTATTTTCTTACATTTCGATAAATCGCCTAAAATGATCAACTCTTTGTATAGGGTGACTGCTTTTATCTCTAACGTAAATAACAAAAGATCAATTTGTTTATAATAGTGCGGTGAACCATAAACAATCAATATTTTTGGTTGTACAGTTACATTAAAAAAAGGAAAAAAACATTAAGGGTTGATTTCACCTCTTCAGTGTGAATTTTCACAGGAAAAGCAATCGCTTCGACGTACACTTCATTATACTCTACATTCAAACAAAGTAACGATCTGTATCTTCGTTAATTATGGAAGAAATTAACTCGAACTTGTTTCTTTCGATAAAGTATTTATTTTACTTCCGTCGCTATGGTAATGTCGAAACATTGAGAGGATGAAATCGTAACGAAAATAAATATTGAATATTTTCATGTGGAAGTTCGCGGGCCCCTTTAAATTTAATTACGACCTCCTTAGGGTCCATGAACCCCAGGTTAAGAACCCCCGAGCTAGAGCATATAAACGTCCGAGTGTGCGTCCATAAACGGCGCCAGGAAACAGTTATGCTTTCCTCTATGACCCTTTGGGACTCATCTTCTCATGTATACGTTTTACTTGGTATTTTCTCTAATTTGAGCATTTACAATTATACTGTTATCAGAATACGATTTTGCACACAGTAGGAATTACAGAATATACGAATATGACTATTATGTATCTAATAATATATGAAACAGAAAGTTCCAGAATAAAACCTTGTCCATAAATTAAAAATACAGTAATTGCTGAGGAAGAAAAATGATAACAAATCATTGTTGTAGCAAACATTTCTAATGGAAGTCACTTGATCGACTGACTTGTGATTGTCTAACCTTGACTAGTTTCAAAAGTATTTTATGAAGTCATTAAATTCGACTTTTATGTGTCAGGCTTAATATCTACATGAAGTAATAATGCCCTAATAAAAAACCAAGCTTACCTTTTGAGATTACTTTTACTTCCCCATGTAGGTACTTCAAATACGAAAAACTGTTTTACTGTATTATTATTCTATAAACTGAGCAACAATTATATTTGTAATGTGTATTTGTATTTAATATTTTTTGACAATCATTAACTACCGCTTTATGAATAGAAAGTATAGAGGTAGAAAAGTATTAAAACCTAATATGAAGAAAATTTCTTCTGGAAAGTCTACGAAGGGCATCTTATTAAAGATCAAAACTGACCCAGTACATCTTACCTATACAGCTCAAAAAATTGTGGTTACACAACAATTGAAATACTTAAGATTTTTAATTTTGCCTTTAATGATAAAAATAAATTAAAATAATGTTAAGAAGAAATATTCGCAAATACCATCAGTAGCCAGTTGAATTTGAAATGCACAACCAAGATTGTTAGGATCCTCTGCCTCGCAAGTAACATTCCCAAACTGGTCCACTGCCAAATAACGATCTAAATGAGACCGAAGGTAAACTTGTTGTTCGCTGCCTTCTAAAGTCCATAGTTGCTTCTTCTTTAAACTAGAGCCGTTTGCATTAATTTTATATCCAAAAGTTTCTGCTGTAAGGTACTTAAATTTTCCATTTATTAATCCGACCTAAAAATATAAATATATTACGTTCATTAATACAATAAATGTTTAGAAAAATAGATTCAATATTGAATTTAATTAAATGAAAGTAATGATTCGATCCTAAAGAAATGTAACTTATTTGTAATCATCGATTGAACTGATTTGATTCAAACATTAATTTTTATCAAATGAACCACTTTAGTTATTAATTTTAATTAACTGTCTTAAACTACATAATTCTGATAGATATAATCTACACACGAAAACTGATAAGAAATATGGTTTTTAAAAAGTTAAAGATTACCGTCCATCCCGTTTTCTCGTTTGCATTTTCGGAACCGACATTTTCAGAACCGTTGGTCTGCATCGTTTAGTTTAATCAATTGACGTTTAGGCGCGCGTGTGGTAAAAATCCTATAAATTGCTTCTGCAATTGCAATCAAGAGCAAATCAGGTATTAAATTTAATATAAAACCTATAAAATATTTTACAACTATAGTCTTTATATTTTAATCTTTTACTCGATCAAAATAGTCGATCAAATATAGAAAATATAAAGACTCGTAATTCAGTTAAGCTTATAAATGCGTAACAAAAATAAATTACTTTGAATCTTTAAATTAAAAAACAATAGAAATTAATAAAATTTTAGTAACTATCTTGAATTAAAAATAAGATGTAAACGATTTCAATAAAATATTTCAATATAATATGCTCTTACGAAGAACAAAAATATTCATTATTAATTGTATTAACATTTTCATTTTCATGTAAAATAATTAAAAGTAATATTGGATTATTTTATATGTAATAGTGAATGAATGCAAATTTAAAATAATTATTTTCGTATACAGTTCGGGAAATATTCGTGCGGAGAAAAGATGCATCTTGAATATTCATTCACGACTAATCTGAATTATTTTTGCAGTAATTAACATCGAAATTTTTACGTTCATTAAATATTTACGACTGTCGTACACTAAATGATTATATAATATAATAATAAAATATTATAACATCCCGGGATAAAGTTTATATTCCTATGAAGATACGAGCCTGCCCAACCTTGAAAAATAATTTAATCAACACGTTCCGATATTTTGTATATTGGTATTTTTGTCCCAAAATTTTTTTTCCGAAGAGATAATTTATTTTAAACTCTGAATTCAGTGACTCATTTCTACGTGACTTCCGTCTGGGTGGGGCCAACTCGTCTAATGGAAAGACAATAAAAAATGTTTTGTCCTGTGCGAAATTTCGACTGCTCGTATAAAAATGGATTAACTTTATTTCTATGATAAATTTACCTTTTTTATTATTTTGAAAAGAATATTTTGTATTTTTTTCACGAAATACTTTTGTCAGAATGGTCTAAACTTAAATCTAAGTTCAGGTAAGATCTCTTTAAACCTAGCATCGTTTAAACCGTACCAATCTAATTAAACTTCACGCCATATAATGTCTAATCGTCAAGACTCATCAAACATGAAACGAACAGAAAAACGTATTTGCGGAAAAATATTTTTCCCTTCGTTATTTTATTTATACCGAAACAAGTTATTTAACATGAAAATGAAAATTTTAACTACGAAACTATTGAATGTGAATTTGAAAAATTATTCAATATCAAAATTCAATTTCCTAAAGCGCAATGTAAAATCAATAATACAATAGGAAAGCCAGGGGAATGACTGAAACTTTATTTGTCCAATTCGAAAACAACTAACTTCGAGTCGTTTTAAACGAACGAGTGTAACCCGATCGATGCCATCGAAGATTCAAATTATAAACATGAAATGCAAAATGATTATAATATTATAACACAAATGATGAATCTGAAATAGGTGATTATACGAAATAATTACAAGAAATTAATGTATTTAACAATTACAAGGATATCAAAGTTACACACGATAATTTAAAATAAAGATGCAATTTAACAATGACTAAAATAAAAAATAATACTTTTTGTACAAAGTTACAAAGATTTTCATCAAGCAGGTAAAAGTAATCGATAAATCAATAATAGTAACATGTATTCGCGTAATTGTACTTCGGTGCATAAATTTGACGAATAAATACGTCTATTCGAAACGAAATGACGGAAATCGTCGAGGAAAGTTAAGCTACTGTTGCCAAGCAGATCTATAAACTTACCTGATAGAGAGATAGAAAAGAAGTTAGAATTACGTACTTGTTGTGGAAGAACACTGAAAAAAGGAGAGAAGGAAGCAAGAAAAGTACGAATCACGGTCACTAAAATACGTTCGTCACAACAAAGATACCCGGCAACTGACTTGACTCGTTGGTTTTCTCGCGATTGTGTAAGGATCTCACAGGACTTCCAACGCATGCGCAACATCTGAACTCACCATAGAATCAGGACTGTGCATAGAACAGAATGTTATAGGAGTACGTTTATTAGAATTGTTAATTCCGTTAATTGCGCCACTGTTGAACCGTTTTAATGTATGATAATTTTAATTACTCCAAACGCGACGTAATACCATCGAATATCGTTTGGTAGACAATGTTATTTACTGCTACGAACGAAACAAATCTAGCACTATTCCTTGAAGGTGTACGGCCCTGTGCAATTCTATCAGGATATCGCGCGTGCGCCGTTGTAATAAGGGAAACGTGAAAGATAGGGGAAACAGAAAAAGAGAACGGTGGGGAACAAGCATACATCGAACTGTCGACTTTCTGGAGGGCCGTGAACTGTGGATCGACGACCCCACTTTGTAATTGCTGTTTTCCCAATAGCACTGTGTTGCATCTTTTTCAATTCTCGTCATTTTTGCTCTTATTTGCTTTTTGTTTTTAAATATTCACTATACACATTTCGTGGGGATTTTTAAATGTCTGGCATATTTGTGCTGACAATTCTGAAAGTAGTCTGAGCCAAATAAAATTGTATTTGTTAGTTATTTTGTTCCACACCGATTTACATTGTACTAATGTAAAATAAGAAACATATTAAAAATAATTAACTCGAGCCACTTTCATAATCACTGGCATATTTATTACACGCGTGATATGCATATTTAGATATCCGTTAAATGTAAAATACTGAATGCAACAGAACTCCTAATAAATAGTAATTATTCGATAAAATCAATATTGTGATATTTTCGTATAAATTTGTAAGCATTGCTTTAAATAAATGTATAATACTATAAATCATTATCTAAGGTTTAAGCACAGGTATGCAGTACCTAAGTTTATTAATACGATTGCCACATCATCTACATATGGGGGACAGAACTGTCCACTAAGAAGCTAAAAAATTAATTTTTAATGTAAGATGTCAGAAAAAATAAATATGGATAAGATTTATGAATTAATAATAGTTTTTATACCGAATTTCAAGAAAGAAAGACGGAAGTTGCTATTTTTATAAGTGTTACAAATTCCACATTTCCTTTATGTTTTACCAGCGAAAAAATAAAAATATTTACCGTTTATATTTATTGTTTCCTGTTATACATTTATTAATAATACTGTTATGTATTTCTTTGAAAATTTAAGTCCGTAACTGAGAATACTTCTTAAATAAACTTATGAATAATTGTCTATTTTCTTTTATGAAATTTTTATCGGTCAGTTAACTGTAAAACAAAAAGTTTTATTATATTCTTTAATAAAACTCGTGTATATCTACATAGTTAGCAATTTAATCTTGTTGTCATAGACACAGTTTACAGTTAAACGGTGTACAGTTATTTTGTCCTACTTATGTTACAATAGAGTTTCTGGGATGATAATTAACTTTTTTTTCAGAGGAAATAGGAAAATTTTCTAATTTCAAATAGTAAACGGTACATCCTCTAACCCGAATCGAATTGTCATTTCAGTATATTTTAATCGTTAAATATTACATTACGGAACAAGATACATTTCTGTTCGATACTTTCTGTATAATATCGTACCCCCTATTTAACGTTGATATTTTTCAAATATGAAAAATATCTAGAAAACGCAATTTTCCAAAAAAAAACTGGCTTTTAAACGAAAGATTTAAAAAAAGATTTCAGTTCTTAACTAAATTTTAATAAATCTTATTTTGTAATAAGAATTTGTCCAAGCTTTACAAATTGTTATACGTTATTTCTTTATTTCTATATTTCTGAAAGAACAAACGTTGACCAGTCGATGATCAGTATATTTGTATTGAAAAATTAATTACACAGCTTTGATTGGTACGCGATATTGATATCACAATCTAATTAAAACATATTGAAAAAAAGATGTAACATGTACAATAACAAATCAAGGACGCGTAACTATTAAAAATTTATTCGTTTTAATGGGATGGTCAGAATTTTATCCAATTTCATTCAGGAAGTCTGGAACTTCCGAGCGTGTCTAACGAGAGGCTTGCACTGATTTGTCTTTTTTCTCGCAAATCGCGGACGCAGAACATTTAATTACAAATTTCTATCTTTGTGAAATTATTTAAGCCTTCGCGGCCCGGATTCTTGCTGATGATACTGTATCACTGTGTCATCTGACCCCCTAATAAAGCTAATTACAATGGTAACGAAACGTTTTCGTTTCTTTGCGCTCACAATTATGATTTCAAACTTACATTTCGTCACGTAATTTAATTCATGCGGAAGCATCATTCTACAATATTAGATGCTATATTTATGTTATTAATAATTTTATTTTTATGATTATACAAATAATAGGCATTTCTGTCGACTGTAGAAAAAAAAATGATTTATGTTAGCTGATACTTCCAAACGAAAGTTACAACAATATGTCTATGCACTATGTAAATTTTATGTAATACACAAATTTACTGTTATTTATAAAATAGTACTGCAAGCATGTTACCAAAATGACTTCAAATGTTTAATAAACAATGTGCAATATGTATAATTTACTACATTGGTAACAATTATTTTGGAACGACCGCTATATTATATGTATTTATTTGACTTTATCGGGAACAAAAAATTATTTCACCGTAACCTAAATGCATTTAGCACCGTCGTTAGGCAAATTGTAACTGATAGAGAGTAAAGAAGAACGAACCCGAGAAAAAGAGAAGGAATGAGAGAGTTCGTTGGCCGTCAAAGGAAAGTCAGAAGCATGACTGTACCGTGCCTGTGATCGTGATCTGGATCGTAACCGTGATCGTAACTCATAACCATGACTAACTTGCGTTTACATAACATCCTAGAAAATTGTGTTACGCACGTATAATATTGGGATTATATGTAATTAATATATATTCCGCTATATAGTATGTGTAAAGCGTAAAATCTACATATTATTTCAGCAAAAAGTTAAATTAATCTATTTCAAAATAATATCTATCCTTGTTACGTTAAATCTGATTTTTAGGAAAAATTGTAGACACATAGCAAAAAAATAGTGAACACTAACTGCAATAGTTATAAATGTAGAATAATGCAAAATAATATAGTCGTAGATCTATAATTTAACATTCGTTCTATGATATTCTTTAAATAAAATATAAACATAGTTAAATTAAAAAGAATTATATTGTTTGCTAATTTTTTAACTATGTAGTCTTAATAATATTGGTCAGAAAAGTTTATTCATAGATTGAAGTAAATAAGATGTAGCCACTATTGTGGATGGGTACACTGCGAGTTGAACGGTAATTGAGCAGGAAGGTACCTACGTTCAGCAATCTGGGCATTTAGTACCGTTTAACTAATGCTTTACTCGATAATATAATTGAAAGATATTTTATTATTATTATTATAAACGAAAGGTGTTTTTTAGTTAAGATAACAGTAGTTACGAGTATAATTTTGCAATAAATTTGCTAATTATCTTAAATGCTGCGTATAGAGACATTATTAACAGTTATTTCCCTCTTCGAAACAATCTTTTTCTTTGACTTATTTTCGTATCTTCAAAAAAAAAAATGGAGATGTTCTGAATGTTCACGTTACAGGGAACACCCTGTATATGCCGAGAATGGAACGCGAAAGGATTTCAAGCAGCTTGTGCAAAGGCCGCAAATAATATAAAGGAGATTCAAATTTCATCCAGATTGCAAAATCTATAAACAATAAAGGCTAGTACGTCATAAGAGGATCTCCATTGTAGTCATTGTATTGTAATTAATAACATAAAGTTTTATATGTCCTATTGTCGGGTCATTCACTTATCGTTGAAGACATTCAAGATATCATTGCTCTTTGTGTTCTGTTAATTAGTCTGTTATTATAAGCTTTCAAAAGTCCATCGATGTTCACTGATACGTTAAACATAAAATTGTGTATTATAAAAATCCAATAAAACCATAACAATTAATAAATATTTGCAATTCTACCATTCACAAAAAATGTTATAAAATGCAACGATTCGTATAAACTTAATTCCATTTATTCTTCTAACCAAATTCTCGCGCGAACATATTCATGCATGCGCATTCACGCAACGCTCAACAAATCCCTAGAAATACAATGTCTACTAGCGCTACCTACTAAACTTGAGGTAACTAGTGTAACTGCACGTTGCTTTACGCAGTACATAAATTTCCGGTTCCACTATGTAGTATAGTTTGTACGTGTGTAGATATATACCATATCATAAATAATTAATCGAAATAATTTATTTCGGATTGGTAATTTCATTGATGGATCATTCCATTATTTCTTTGCTTTAAATTTGTGAAAACGTTAACCATTAAAATGATGGAACAAAGTTCTATTTTGAGGAATTATTATAACTTTTTTTATACACGGCACTTACTTAGTCATCATAATCATTGATATTTACGGTGAATTCGTTTCTTAAACCGTTGTTTGCAACTGTTTTGTCGGTAACTTTAATCTGACTATAATGTAGGTAGTTAACATCGAAGAATTTTTTTATTATTGCTTCAGTGAAGTACTTAGGATGAGGTTCTACATTATTATCAATAATTTTTATATAAAACTCATAAAAAACTAATCAAGAAATTTGCTTAATAAGAATTTTCCACCATAAAGACAAACTTTTATTGCTTTTTCGTATAATAATTTATTAAATGATAATTAAAAGCTATAGAATGTTATACTTCCATCAGAAAGTGTATCTTGCATTTGTGACAATTATTGTTTTCACAGCAAGTGTAATAATTTACCAGGTATATGTTATAACATAAAATATATCACAGTTGTATAATAATATACATAAATAGTTGTACTGTAGTAAAAAATATTACTTAAGAATAATTTGTAAATAATGGCTAATAAATTAGCTAATTGAATGGATTAAATGTAGAATATAAAATGGAATATTTAATTTCATTCTGCTAAAACATATAGAAATTACTAAACAAGTATTATTATTACCATTAGTCTGGGTAATTTTATTTTGTTTAAAAAATGAAATTATTACTGAATAATCTTTAAATTTTGTAAAAATATCTATTATAATGAACATTTAATATATAAATATTGTTCATATGATTACAATACTCAAAATTAAATTTAAAAAACTTGAACTATTACTGATAGTTTTTAAGACTAAAGTAATTTACAGATAAGTTTAATTGAATTCAATAATGGACAACATTATTCGGGTATGTAATATATATTGAACTTTCAAATTTGTAAATGTTTGTATCATGTAAATGCATAAAACTAAAAAGAATACTAACAATTGTTTGTTGATATTCTTTTTAGGTGAAATACCTATAATTTTATGGTGGACGCCATTTGGAAGTGATGGATTACATAGAAATTGTGAAAATTATTCATGTTATTTTACAAGCAATCGAACTTTCCAATATCATCATAAGATAAGCGTAATATTATAAATCTCTTCATATTATTTAAATTTAAAAACTCGCGAAAAACATTAAATAAGTAAATTATTTTAGTAAATTTTATTATCCAGAAATTGTTTATGTGTCTTTCTGAAATAAAACAGTTGAATTATTACGAAAAATATAATTGTATTTTTTTTCCTTTTTTTTAGAGTTTTCTTTTCTATGGTACTAATTTTCAAATTAATGATTTACCAAAGTGGAAATTGGACAGAGTTCCATGGGGCTTGATTCATGAAGAATCACCTAGAAATAATCCTATTCTTGTTCAACAAGAAACTCTCAATCTTTTTTCATACTCCTCAACATTTAGCAGATTTAGTGATGTACCTCTTACTTTGATCGATTTACCTGGAGTTACAGAGTTATTAGGTAGTACAATTAACTACCTACGAAAACAATAATGCTTCTGCAATGTTTCATTTTCTTTCAAATCATAATTTCATTGCTTGGAAACTGATATTTTCTATCAATCTTTCAGGCAGAAAGTATTTTGTACCAACTAGTGAAAAAACTAAACTAATGCATACACGAAATCTTGCACCTCTGCTTTATATACAATCTGACTGTGATACTGCAAGTAACAGAGATATCTATGTAGCAGAATTAATGAAGTACATAAGAGTAGATTCATATGGTACATGTTTAAATAATGCTCAGTTTGACAAAAGGTAAACTGTACAGATTTAAAAAGAAAAACAGTCCAATTGCATTCAATATATTAACTTTGTAAATAATATAATTATGATGTAGACTAAAGGAAAATTATCTCGAAATATTAAACAGCGACGATTTTCTCTCTTTCATTGCCAATTATAAGTTTACTATCGCGTTTGAGAACGCAGTCTGTCAGGATTATATTACAGAAAAATTATGGAGACCCCTTATTGTTGGATCTGTACCTGTGTATTATGGATCACCATCGTTCAAAGTATTACAAATTTAATCACAAATATTATTTTAATAAATACCTAATTTATTATTATATTTTCATAGCCTCGGTTCTGTTTATAATAAATTCGATCATAAGTAATTTCCGACTTCTAAATCAAAATATATTTCTACATTTTTTTGTATTTATAAAATACGTTTTAGTAGAATTTAAGTAATTTGAATTTTTTTCAGGATTGGCTACCAAATAATATTTCTGCCATTTCAGTACTTGATTTTAAAGACCCGCAAAATCTAGCTACTTTTTTACACGATCTTTCGAAAAACGATACTGAGTATGATAAATATTTATCACACAAGTTGTTTGACAATTACGAAATAGAAAACCAAAGATTAAGGAAAGCATTAGAAAATCGAAAATGGTTTCAAAATGAATTTGGAAACTATCTAGAGGAATTTGAATGTTTCGTTTGTAAAGATATACAGAAAGCTAACAGCCGAAAAAAAACAATCGATACGTCACATTACGACTGTCCACTACCCAGAAACCCTATAACAACCAAGATCGATTATCATAATTGGTGGACAAAACAATGGACTCTACACAAATCTGATGCAAATATATTGAGTTATTACTCGAAAAATAATCTTACAATGAATGTAAAAAATGTTGATATAGATAAAACGAAACTATACAATCAAAACTTGGATTAAACTGCTAAAACGTTTTCAAGCAATTAGTAAAAAATAAAACTATTCTGGTCCCACGTGTGAATTAAAGGATAGCAAATTTCTTAATATATTACATATTTTTATAATATTAATCAGTCTTTTGGATAGCATTCGAAAGGTTCTAAAACTTTTAGTTTTACTTAAATTTATATTTCGTAATTAAACGTTCATTAAACATTTATTGTGTTATAAAAAAAAAACTATACAAAAAAACGAGTACAACAAAATAATTTATTTTATACGTATTATATACCTTCTACTGCATTTGTACAAAATTGTATATTTTACTTCGACAGTTTTACCGCTTTATTTTTATACGTTATAGGACAAAAGTGTTGTATATAATTACTTAATAAAATTGGAATAATAGTTATAGCCATGTAAGCGTCTTATTTTAGAATTTCACTTACTCAATTTATCAGAAAAGAAGATGAAATTCAGTTCACGGTCGTGTTTTGTAAAATCGGAGTAGATACCCCCATCAAGTCACAAAGGCGATTTCTTATTGGTCGAAGTTCAGATACCGATCGTTCCCAATCAGTGACATTTAATTCCGTTAAAATTTTAACTAAGTCTTGTTCGGGAAGATCGATCTCTTCCCCGTAAAGAGTTAAAGCTTCGTACGTTTTCGTTGCTGCTACTTTACGTATACACTTATACTTATGGCAAAGAAAAATACTCAATTGACAAAACGCTCGCTTTGCGACTGGACCCCGTACCTAAAAATAATCGTTATCGTAAAATCGTTATCACCATTTTATCCTAAACGTAACAATATAAAAATACCTGCAAGAGCTGACAGAAGACGTTTATACTGATGATTAACAACTTCGTGTTACTTGTATTTTTTATTTCGTGTTTAAGTAACATTAAAATTTTTTCCGAAACCCCGTTCTTCGAATCATCGAGAACAATTTGAATACATCCGGAGCTAAGCAAGCGATCCAAAAATGCTAACATCGATGTAATCATTCTTTCGTTTTTGTGACTTTCCTCGAAAATATTCAAAATTTTGTAACACAAATTTGTAAGACCTTGTTCGTCTATTTCTTGTAAATAAGAAAATAAAGAGACGCTAGAGTGTTTAACCTACAACAAAGATCGAACGAAAAATTCAAACGAGAAATTTAATTATCCTTACACCTGTTAGTAATATTTACCAGAGATTCGCTTAAACCACCGACGCTGAATACAATTCCCCGCAGAAGGTTCATTGTATAAGGAGGATAAGATAACATTTTAATAAACCGTGGGAAAGTAATGGATTCCATTCGCCATTCTATGTTTTCTTTACACTCGTCATAAGGGAAGATACTTTTTAATTCAGCAAGATATGGAATGTTTGGTAGCGGGGGATCATTGTGAATGAGAGTGCTGAAGACGGTTCCTGCTTGCGCTCGGATCCCGTCGATTCTTTCTACAGCTTGTTGTGCAATTCCTCCTATTATATTTGTCATTAACTCTTCGTTCAATACGGACGTCAATTTCGCTTGAAACACTAAATTTGTTAACATCTAAAATTATTTTAAGGATCACGTTTAAATGGTGTACTACTGAACACGATTGTATCATAAAGAAATCATGTTTACATGTAAACCAGTCATTGCTGCTTCTCGCACCCATGCTCCTATATCTCCACGACTATCTACTGTATATTCTTTCAACGACAGTAAATAACAATTATACAAATCGTGCACAAATACTTGCCATTTATCTAAAAATTAAAAAGAAAGTTTTTTTTTCATTACTTTTATGCCATATATCCACTATTAAAGCGTATTGTACTCCACATAATTACTAACTTTAAACGATTATGTATAAATATTACTGTCAAGTTAGAAGGATTACAATGTTGTGTTAGAATATAAGTTTGAATGTTTTAAATAAAAACACACCTGCTTCTTTCACTCCCAAAGTTTCACATACCATTATTAATGCATGGATAGCTTCTTTCCTACTCTCTGCCCATTTCAGAGTATTTTCTGATATTTCAGTACATTTAATGAGAGCCTTTATCACATCTGTTTCTCTTTCACAAATTATAAATAAAGGAAAGTATCCTACAGAAATAATTGATAATTAGTATATAATTACAATTATTAAATTTGAACAAGAATCTAATATTCTAAAAGTTTCGCGGCTCGAAGCAGCAGCAAGGAATGATCCACAACTTGGAAATTTAAAATATTTTTTATTGAATAACTATCGTCATTTTAAAGCACCGAAAAAATTATATTAATATTTGTAAATGTGATCTAACAAAATAAAAATATCTGCAGAAGTTAACAAACGACCCAATGCAATTAATGCAACAAAATGCTATGTAACTTTCAAAAGCTAAAATAGGGGGGTTTACAACACATAAAAACATTTTTATTTTACCTATGGCTTGTGCAAAACCTATTCGAACGAGTTGATTACTCGATTGCAAATTATCGAGATAACGATTAATAACAATCCTATGATAATCGCTATCTATGTTGGCATAGTATTTTAAAAAAAATTCTGTGTGTGCCTCTGCTGCTTTTGTTCTTACTACAGACACTTCGTGTGCCAAACATTCTTCTAAGAGATTTTGCCAGTCATCTGGAAAAGTTACATTTACTTGCTTTTGTTTTAACTTTACTTACACGGCGAAAATTATTGTAATTTTACAGGGACGTTTTGCTCTATCCAGCATACTTCCCTCTGATTTTTATGTATCTCATTCGTTACAAAATTCTTTCCAAGAAAAATAAGTAAAATGGTTAAAGGTCATACCACAAACTAACGAATATTAACTTACATATAATTTCTATGGAGACTGGAAAATGAACAATGGAGCATTTTTTTATTAATACTGCGCAAGCTTGCTTCATTAATTCTCCTCCTAGACCTTTGAACTGCCCCCTTTTCCGAAAAGTATTCACTATATTTCTTATACTTTCCATGGCTGTTGGTTGGAGTATATTTTCAATTTTTTCGTTATAACTGTTGTGTAATGCTTCTAGAATTTCTGCGATTGCTACTACCGCGCCGTGTCTAATGTTCAAATCCATAGAATTCAACATATCTAATAACTGTGGTAAAACTGTATCCTTAATATAATTTGGAGCAGCCGATGTTAGATTAAAGAGCGTTTTGGCCGATAGTTCTCTGATCGCTGTATCCCAATGCGTAACTTTTCGTGCAACCACATGGTCGATAAGAGGTTTCCTGTACTCGTCATACTGAGCAATTTGTGCGCTGATTTTTAAGTACGAATGATTTCTAACGCCAACTTCAAAATAATCGGCAATAGTTAATATCTCTATTCCGTGTGGAAAGTTTCCTTGCCTACCGACGTTCTCTTGGAACGCCGCCGAAGCAGCTCTTCTACAATTAATCTCTCTATCGAAGCAAGCAACAACCAACAACATAGCTGCAATTTCTTTTACATACGGTTGAAAGATATCGGGATCGTACGCTCTTGGAAATGACCAACAAATATAACACGCAGCATCTCTGATTAAATAACCAATCGACCCGTACGCTCTTGGTTCATCGAATACTAAAGCCTGAAGAACTACTGGTATTACGTCGGGTAAACGATGAGGCAACAAGAGCCCGCGTCTACCTAATTCTGCTAACGCCAAACAACCACCGTGCCAAGCAGAATCTGATTCCCGACCAGAAAAAAGATTCAGCACAAATCCTACTACATCATCTGCTAGTTCCATTGGTAGCCTTGCTGTTATTCTTCCCAACCCTTTCGCGGCAGACCACCGTATCGTAATTGCTTTATCCCTAAGACCTTGTATAAGTTGCTCGATAATATCCTCTATCGCTAATGGAATATCCTGATCATCGTTATTAGTCGAAACCTCTTTAGACTTTTCCAAATTTTTTACAGCATTAATCTGCTTATCGTTAAGCAATAAACATATAGATCTATTCATTCTTTGATATCTCCACGATGCCAGTTTCGTTCCTAATAACACTAATCCGATTCTTTGTACAATTTTTATCCCAAATTTCCTGATAAGATCAGCAGGATTATTATTTAAATGGAACTGTAAAACTTTATCCAAAATCACTTGAGTGTGTGGTTTAACATCTTCCCTCGCAGTATGTTTTAATATTGCAGCTATAACCGCTAGAGGACCGTGCCTCAAAGGATCGTTCTCCACACATTGCAAACACCACATTATCATTTCTTTCAAATATAATTTTTTAACATCCGATCTTGTTAAGAAATTGGCAATTAAAAATACCGCAGCTACAGCGCAAGCATCTTTTGATAAACAAAATAATTTGCATATTTTTAAAATTCTGACTACTATTGACTGTTCTGAATTAACATCTGTAATTTCTAAACGCGACAGTGGAAATGGTATTTTCGATATTATAGAAAGCCAAATTAAAAGTACGTATCTAGTCTCCCATGTCTCCACGTCATTCGGATCTTGTTTTTCCAACATTCGCAAAACAGGAAGGAGATCTGCTACCTACATCAAATTATAAATATGTACTTGAAAATTGAAACGTTCGATAGAGTATGAAAATATTTAATGCACTCATATACCTCGTGTGGTAAATACGTAACGATGTTCTTGTACGTTTTGACAGACATAACGATGAAAATGTATTTGAAAGCATTATGTTGCATACTTTCTGTAGAATTTTCATCTTTAATGATACAAATCAATGGCTGCAGAATATCATCCAAATAAGGATCCAACAATTGTCTTTGATCTTGATATTGTGACAGAATGAAATTAAATCGATCCCGATTTTTTTCAATAAGGCTCGACGAAAGATCAACTTTTTTCAGTTCCGCAATCAGAGAAGTCACTTCATCAATTTCCTTAAAAGCACTGAATCCACAACCAATTACTTCTGGATCCGGACAATCATTCAACACCATTTTCTTCCTCTTAACCTTTCACCGTTATTCACAAAAACTGATGTCTTTAATTAAAATACATTTATAAGTAACTAAGTTTACCTACAAAAACACGAAAACATTAAGAACAAATTTTTTGATAGTTCGCGATAAAACGATGACAAATAATAGCGCGTGCGTATCGACGCAACAAATTTTTCGATTATAGTCCGTACATTTCATTAAAGACTTGTTTTCACGTAGCACTAGAATTTGTGAAAATAACGAAACTGGGGAAATTATAACGCCTTTATCCCACTAATCTCTTGTTATGATTCTCGTCTTTATTATAGTAAATATTACGACTAGGTATCTACATATCCCCGACCTTGACTCTGTATAAACATAGCCAGATTAAAAGGCGCAACCAGATTCATACTTGATTCTAGAGGAAAAACGAAATCGGAGAACATTTCACGTAGTTGCAATATTGTTTTATTACAAAATCAATAATATTCAAACCCATGTAATTATGCGCTCAATGCAAAAGAAATTTACTGCCGTAGAAGTAAAGCTTGAGAACTGTTATAATATAGGTTTAGGTTTTTCAAACACTTATGAAGAATTTTTATTCCGAACAACTGTTATAAAGAACTTAAATTTTGATCAATATCGATTTGAATTAAAGTTTTTGCATCAGCTCTTATATAGGTTCGGAATTTACATATTCTAGTACAAACAAAATTCATTTTCTTAAAAATGGCTCACTGTATATCTTTGAAACGCTCGTAATAAAGAAAAATGTCGTAGGGCAAATTTAAATAGTTTAGAATGAACCATATTTCTTTTACATTCGTCGTCGTAAGGAGGTGCACTAAACATCTTAGTAATTTTATTAAATATTATCTCCCAAACATCTCAAAAAATTAGGGAGACAATACTACGATTTCCGTTAGCAGATTGCAAAATAGCAAAGGACTCGTTGATTTATATTAACATTAGGTAGTGATCCTGAAAAAAAGGTCTCATATTTTCGGTAATACCCTGTATAATTACATAATTTTACACTACTACTTTTTTAGATTTACATTCTATAATGTTGATATATTATACATTATAATTTGATCAATAATATATCGAAGGTATTAAATAATTATTTAAGTTTTTAACATAAATTATTTTTGGAAATTATTTTGAATAGTATAATTGTGAATTCATGTTTTGCAACTATCTAGCTACATCATATAAAACGTATTTAATGAATACAAAGTACATATTACAATTAAGTACAACAATGACCACATATAATTTTTTGATTTTTCATACACATTTACTAATAAACATTACCAATACTAATAAACACAAATGTTTACCTCCCTTATTTATGTATATCTTGGTTTAAATGTATTTTTCAATTTTTCCAATTAACGCACACATACATGCACGCACTTTCACACACGCACACACACACACCCTACACTGTGCTTCAGAATTTGTAGTAAATGCAAGATTTTGTATTCAATTTCAGTAATTTTTCTTATTTTAAATATTTTCGAAGATATACATATTATTAAAAATAACATGTGTGATCAATTCATTAGTAGATATGTGCATACATCAATTGGTAGGTTTTTGCATTCATTGAATATTATTACCTTGTTTCTAAAATCATGTGCCATTTCTGATTTCAACAATTATTACATAATATGAAACAGAGAAAAGATAATGTACAAAATTTGATATTTTTTAATACTTTTTTTTTATATATTTACAAGATATTTACAACATTGCACTTCAAACATTGAATCGATTTCAATACACAAGTTTTATATAAAAATGAAATAATAAAAATGTTTATACAAATACGTGCTCTATTTAATTATTTTATATCATTAAACTAACATCGAACGATGTTCCACGAGTTCGGTCTTGAACTGTATATCGAGATAAATAAACAATTTGTGAATTTTTTTTTTACACAATTTTAGAAATAAGATAATCACATGAATAATTTAAGGTTGTTACATTTCATAATTTTCCATAGTATTTCAAATTTCATTAAATATGTAACAAATACATACAGTGAAACTTCCGTATCCGCCGGTGTTAGGTTCGAAGTAACTGTATATACATATATGTATATTATATACCTATAATGAGGTTCTACTTATAAAATACAATAAGACAACTAATAATGATAATAATCAATAATAACATATAACAATTACACGAATAATACATGTGATGTTCATGTATGTATAATAGTATTTGAATGTGAATCTCTTCGAAAAGTCTACAAAGACTGAAGAATGTCTCTAAGAATGGTCTCTTTAATTATTTATGTAGTTTTAATACTTCGTTTCATAAAAACATCGTATTCGATACTTTTATTCTTTAAAAATTGTGTAATTTGGAATATTTCGTAAAATTTTTTTAATACCCACACTGCTTTTTTTTTTTTTTAAACAAATTGCGGTTACGGAAACCACGAATATGAAGGTTTTACTGTAATTAGAAAAGGCTAAAAGGAGAAATTTTATTCTACTATAAGAAATATTAGTTATTAATACACAATAAAGAATATCAAATGAGCTTGTGCTCTTAAAATCATTAACTAAGCAAATCGAGTATATCTTGTGAAGGTAAGTTTTCAACCTTCTGATTCGCATTAGAATTTAAATTGGAATTAAACTCCAATTGATTAGTTGAAAAGTTTCCTTGATTCATAGGATAATTGATATTATTTTGAGGTATAGTCGTATTTAACGTTGATTGATTAGGAATCCAAGTACTAGTGTTCCAAGTTGGATTTGCATTCATTCCTTGTGGATTGCAATATTGTTGAGGATTTGAATTCGAAGGTATCCAGGAATGATTGGATTTCGAACTTGATATTGAAAGATTTAATTGATCTAAATTTGATTGTAATAAAGTATCAGTTAAATCTTTTATTTGAGGTTTTGCACGTTGTTGAATAGCTGTTGGCATTAATGGTTGTTGAGTTTGCAGTCTTTGATATACCTCTTGTTGTTGAATTAATCTGTAAATTATACAATTTAAAGACCCTTGACAAATTCAGTTCGAAGATTATGTTTAAATTGTACTTTATAGCAGAGATTGAATCGATATTACAAGTATCGATAAAATACCGGTAAATATTCTATGGGAAAGAAGAAAGAACCATGAATTAAATTTAAACCTGAATCTCAGTGTTAAATTGAGCGGTAAGATCGAATCATAAAATGAAAGAATAATACGATACCTCTAAGTACACAAGTATTCAGACTCTGCTTTACAATGCTTAAAATATATCACTAAACATTAAACAGCAACAATTTTTACTAACCGAAACTTATCTTCCATTGTCAATCCATTTTCAATCTGTACAGGCTTTACATTTGTGTTTGTATTTGGCGCAGGAATTGTGGGAATTACATTGGCATTATCGGTAGTTAAGTTCATCTTTTTATAAATATTAGAAGTTTGCGAAAGTTCTTCGTCGAGCTGTTGAGTTTCACGACGCATTGCATCTAATTGCTTCAAAGCTTCTTTGTGCTCTGTTGTTACACTAGTTATCATTTCGATCACAAGATTTGAAAGAATTTCGTATTGCGATAGACTAAAATTTTGTTCGACGCACAACGGTAATAGAAATGGTAAAATCTTTGTTGCTAATATTTCTTTACTTGCTCCTAATTTACTGTGACTTAGTAATATTCGATAAATACCTAAGAAAAAAATAGATAACATCGCTACTGTAAATTCATTATTTTTATTTCTAATTCTTTGATGTTATACAGGACGCGGCCGAATAACGCGTGCAAGTAAACAACATTTATGCAATGTTTATAAATTACTAGATTCCGCAAAAAATGTAAATAAGACTCTCTTTTTATTTTTTCATAAGGAATCATCTCCCGCCCGTTTGTGCATATTATTCGGCCGCACTCTGTATGAATAGTTTACTATATTATAATACCTATAATGGCTATAAGAATTGCAGGTTCACCGGAGTGCGGAATTTCTTGTAGAAAAGGTAATACTTGATCAAGGACCAACCATCGATCAAAATTAGGTAACAATCTTGCCAGACACAATAAACAATTGACCCTGACTCCAAGACTTTTACTGTTACTTCCTTTTCCATGTAAACAAATCTTTTTCATTCTAGGCAAAATTGCATTTTTAATCACCGGCCCATCGATCATTGTTATGATATTAGGCAATGCAGACAAACACAACTCTTGTAACTGTTCCCATTCGGATTCTAAAGCGCGTAATAACATTGGAACTATGTCTGTCTTTATTACCTCTGTGGTACATAATTTTAATAGTAAATCGACGTGTTGCATTAATACGAGATTAATTTGCGGTGGATCGTCTAACGTCAAAACGGTTTTAATATTTGGTAATATGTATTGTCTGAATTCTTCTACAGAACTGGTCTCCATTGCATATAGTATACTCGGTAAAATGAAAGGGATCATTGGCGGATTAATCAATTCCTTGTATAAACATGGAAGGACCCTATGCAGTGTAACTCTGTGTGGTAGTTGCTTTAAAAGCTGCGGTAGCCCTTTGTAAAATTGCGATTTTTGTAAATTGTCCCATTGAAAAATCTTATCTAAATAATTTAAAGTTTTCACTCCAATATCCGTGAAATATTCGATCTTAACAAATTGATGAGCATCCGGCCTTAATTTAGGATCATGATTCAACATTAATTTCACAGTATTTTTAAGAGTTTCTGGAATTGGAAGAAGTTTAGAAACTACTATCGAACCGGTGAAGTTCTCTAGAAAATTTTTGCATTTCCAAAAGTCGTTGTTAGACTCGTGAAGAGGTTCATTTGTTGGAGAATATAAAACATATACCAGCATTCCAAAAGAGAAAATATCACTGGCTGTGCTAATACTATTTTGTAGAATACATTCTGGCGCTTGGTAATTCAAGTTTGGATGTACAGCAGATGAATTCGACATATCGTATTCTACGTACGACCATACAGGTTGGTTGCCTTCCATACTTTGGTTCAAAGCACAAAAATCAAATCCAAAAATTTTCCATGCTCCGTGACTATTAACAACGATAGATTCCGGACATAAATTTCTATGGATTAATTTAACATCTCCATGCAGAAATGCAAAGCCTTCTCCAAGTTGCCATAGCCCATATTTAATTTCAACCTCGTGCAGTTTGTATTCTTTTAAATCTGATGGCAAAGGTTGTGGTAAATTATCATGGTTTCCTAAAATATTAGCTAGACTAGCTAACACAGGTTCGGTCGCAAATGCCAAACTATCTCTTGATTCCTCTAAAGAATGTTGTACTGTTAAAATTTGCGGATGACGTAATTTGGTTAATTGTGCAACACCTCTTTTCAGAGTTTCTAAAATGACTTCTTTTTCATTCTTTGAACATTTGTCAAGGACACGTTTCTCAAACACAAATATTGCTGCCTCTTGTTTCGTAGATTTCTTGTAACCGCTGTAAATTTTCCAAAGCAACGATGGTCCTGCACTTGCTATGTGTGCAGTTACTTCAAATTCTCTGGTAACTGGATTACCCGGAAGAACGTTTGACAATTGAGATAAACCGTAAGCAGTGTTTTGAACGGTGTTGGAAATAGTATTGCTAACAGTATTTCGTAATTTTGTTAACACATCCATTATGGTTTATGATTTATTTTCGCTGTTCATTCAGTTATCGATATTATTAATACAGTTAACAAGTTCACTGATAATATGGTTATCTTTAATAATTACACATTTAATATATCATATTTTTATAAATTTTGCCACAACAATTCAATTTAATTACAGAAACTTTTATTGTGGTTAACGATTTATTAATTTTCGATTTTTTCTCGACATTTAGACAAATATTATATATCGACATGCACTATACGTTATCGTGCAAAAAGACAATTTTACGCACATTTAATGATACCATGTGGTAATTTCACTGTACAATGAATAATAATCATTAATAGCAATATTTTTAAATCGAACGAAATATGAAAACTTCCACACATAACATTCAGCCACAAACGCAATAGAATATAAGAAGGACTTACGTCAAAGAAGTTGGTGTGCTGCGATGTTATTGATACGGTGAATAACTATACACGTATTAATATTAAAAAACAGTTTAATCACTAGCTAATAATAACTAATAACGATAATAACACTATCCACTGCATTAAAATCTTTTCTCACATTTGCAATATCCATTGGATGGTCACTATAGTGTCTTGTTCCAAACACGAATCCGGAAGTAGGATCGCTCTTATCATTTTCAGCTTTGAAAAACGTTTTTTTTTAATACACGATTGTTTGCAAAAGTGAAGTTTTACTAAAGCACTGAAAATTCTAAAAAATTTTATTTAATTTGAATAAATGAAAGAAACTTTTCTAAATATATTATGTTTATTAAAATTTGTGATTTTGATTGGCTGTAAATGGGCGTCAAAGTTCAAAAACTTAATAAGTTTTTTATCTAGTAACAATTTATTGCACAGTAAATGTGAGAACGAAAAAAGGACGAAAGAAACTCGTACAAATACGAATAACAAATAACTCAAAGTTATTTTGTTTGGTTTTATGAATGTCATCGTGATATTTTATTGTAATACAGGGTGTCCATCTTAGCGGTCACAAAAAATGTTTAAAATAAAAGTTAATGAACACTGTGAGGAGAACAAAGTGCACTAATAAAAATTTCAAAAAATTCAAACGAGTATGAATCTTGGGTGGAAACAATTGTTACATAGAAAATTGTATAACGTCTTCGAATAAGAACAAAATTTTTGTAATATTAAATCGGTAGGAAGAATTGTATAATCCCTTGAGATAAGTAAAAAATCATCACCGGTGACCTTGGCCTCTGTAGTGGTCGGGTAATACATAACACAAGATACTTAAGACAGACATGGTAATACCAGACACGCGATCCAGTGTGTATAAGCCACCTGCAAGGAAATCTTTGCGACAAATCTTTCGACCGTTCTCATATTAGAGTAACACACAGGGTGAGTCATCCGAAAGGATACAAAAAATATTTTTTGCTTTGGTCAAAAACTATCTGTCACCTAGCTGGTATCGGATGATGTTGAAACCACAGACGAGATATACGAGTAGATTTTTCACCTTATGGACTTTCGCGGCCGAATCTGACTGCTATACCGACCTGAAAATTCGGAGCTGATTTTAGCGGCCTCTTCTCATGGTTGAGAAACTCACTGAATTAGTGCGATATGCAACAGCTAGTTGCGTGTAAATGCATACGAGTTGAAAAGTACGAATTATTCGCGATTCCTTGACTAGTTAAAGTTGTAAATAATTTGCTAAAATCAGTCTATCCGCGGCTTCTACCTGTGGCAGCGCTCGGATTCGTAATGCAAGCTTCGTGAGACATCGGAGCTTCCCCCACCCCGCCGCCTAACTCCCGAGCGTTGCCGAGCACGGCGAGCGGCCATCATTCGTACTTTGACGTCGAGACGTATCGGTGTTCCGCGACCGAGGTGCGTATTTCTAACCTGTTGATCTTTCCACTCTTACTACTCGCGTTTTAATTACTATCTCTTGCAATACGGTTTCGATTCAATCATTGCTTAACTATAACAATCGTTTGTGTACTTTAATGCATCGTTATTTCGTTTCTATTACAGTCTCTTATTGGAATTCGAAATCAAGGAATAATAAGACTTGTTGAAACCTGTCGAGACGTGTCTGCGTTTCGCGACCAACGAAGTACGTATTTCTAACCTTTTGCTATCTCCTCATTATAATCAATCATTGTTTAATTATGATTTAATTTGTATTTTATTTCTGTTGCAGTCTCTGATTGAAATTCGACGCCATGGAATGTTTTATTGGCGCGTAAAGGACCCCATAACAGATGGCAGACAAGTCGACAAATTGTGGAGGGAATATTGGTAACATTTAAACAATTACAACGAAAATTAACATCCATATTAATATTTATATATTCTTATCTCTTTATTACGTTCGTTGCAAGCATGATCATAATTTTCTAATCGGCCATTGTTAAGATAAAATATGAAAATCGTTAACAAACTTTTTATCCACTTCGATATTATATCGAAGTATATACAAAATGGCGTCGGTAGATACTAACGATAAATTGAAATAGTTTATATTTAACTGTATTCTGATCGCGATTGAATATATCCGAGTGTTATTTATTTAATTGATCGTTTATATTTCTTTATGAATTGTTGTAATTGCAATTTGCATATATATTTCGATGCAAGTTTAAGAAAACGTAGAAACCACGTAGTTGGAATATGCTATTAAAGCATAAATAATTAACGAACTTTAATTTTTGCAAATTTCGGAATATTTATAAAAATTATCGGATATTCTCACATTCGATGAAGTAAACATAATCATGCTTACAACTCTAACTATGAATTTTAGTGATATAATATTTATAAATTGAATAATTACTTGTACGTAATTATTTTCGTAGATAATATTTTATCGTTGAAATTCTCATTGATCGAGAATATTTCGCCTTCGTGGCATTGAATTTTTACGTGGCAAATTATGTATTATGCAGTAGTATTAAGTAAAGCAGTATTTCTGTTGACGAACTCTTATAAGAAGATGAAAAAAGAAAACCAGTAGGCTAAGCACAGATGTGCTTGTTGTGTTTCTTGTCTCCTGTCCCTTTCTTTTCAGCTCTTTTCTTTCCAGGAAATTTGTTGGCCGCGCGCAATGCGGCCGGTAGATTCAGTGATCGTGCGTAATAACAAGTTTGTTTCTCGGGGCAATGTGACCCCGAGTACGTTATCGTTCACGGTGTTAGGCAAACGCGAGAATAGAAGCAGTGTTTCTTACGCGGTATTAAATTATTTACAGAGCGTCGTGGCTCTTTCTGTTTTCTGAATCGCGATAATAGAATCATTTGTTCGCCGATTTCAATCTTCGGCCGCGGTAATCTAATTTAATACTTTCCGATCAAATTAATTATTTTTTCAATTTGAAATTTAAACTCCTCGTTACCGGAATTAGAGTCAGTGCGTCACCGAAGAGGACTATTTGCCGATGCTCCACGAGCAAACAATGTAAGTATAAATTTATACTTTGAAATTTTTAATTAAAAATCTCTACAGTTTTGACAATAGATTCTAAATGTTTTCTTACAGTTTTCTTACAGTTTCTGAACATGATCCTGGGAACCAGCAGCAGCACCCGGGGGGTATCGGGCGGTGGACCACGAGCGAACAACGTAAGTATAAATTTATACTTTGAAATTTGTTAATTAAAAATCTCTATAATTTTAACAACAGATTATAATTGCTTTCTTATTCTTTATAGCAGGACCATGCAGGGGCCTCTGATGACTTCCACTGGGCAGCAGCAGCATCATTATGCAGTCATCCCAGAGGCACAAGTTCATCACTCGTGAGTCGCATGCTATTTGTGTTCCTCTGGTCCCCAACCATGTTGTAGGATGAAAGATCCGAATCAACACGGGTGACCAGTTGTATACTTAGTATTTTTGACGAGTTAAGTGACCGCGGGTATGAGAAATACCCGTGAGTAGCAACATCAATTGTTATATTTTTTTAGTGCAGGCTAGGGTCTTCTTGCACTCGCGTTTTTTAATGTTACCAATAAATGTTACACAACTTCATATGAATTATATAATTGAGTAGAATACGAATTAATATAATGCAAAAGCATTATATCGATCATATGATCCAGTAGAATATCTTACAACATTAACATAATTATTAAATATTCGTTTTATCGATTAATACATCATATGATGTATTTCACGTGCAAGAAGGCGTTTCGCGACTGGTCGTTTCTCAACTCAAAGGAACATGCATGTTAGTTTCATCTTTTAAAAAATTTACTTTGACGACAGAATCGACCAGGGATAATTGAATATTTTGAATAATAATTTAACAAACTTATTTCAATTTGCAAAGTAAATTATTTTATTATGATATCTTTATTAAAGTCTTCCATTTTGAACAATTACATTTCAGTTACAAATTTGTCTTGAATAATAATATTTTTCAATATTAACGTACTCTGTTGTTGATATATTACATATAACAAGTCGAGTCATTTTAATTGAGAATAGATACCGTTTAGTTAATTACTAATAATCAGTTTTTCTAGTCAGGATTTTCAGGATACTTTTCCGTGTTCGTTGCCTAAGTTCATGCACATGCCCAAGTGTTATTTGCACGAGCGAAGGCAACGGGGCACGATGACTTAGTTTGTAACATTTATAATAATAATTTATCCGTGCGACTGACAATGCTAGTGTCTCGTGCACGATGTACTGTCCACATATGTGTGTTTGTGGTTAGGTTGTGGAAGTGCATCGTTTCAAAAGTTTATTACAATTCAGATACAGAATTTTTTGACATTAGATTCATAACAATCACAATAATAATATTAAACTTATAGTTATTATTTACTTGGCAATTGTTCGTATTGCATATTAGTCAATAATATTGCAAAATACATAATGAATTAGCTTTTCAATCTTATATAGAGTATATTATAGAGTATATTTTAATAAAGACAATATCAGATATATTAAAACGTTTTACATAAATAATAAAAGTACGCAATGGGCACTAGCTTTGTCAGTCGATTCTAGAAATGGTACGTACATTTAGAGTATGAATGAGGTTGTGTCCGGGTGTCGGAGGAACCCCGGGGAGTCCTCTCTAGTTTAGGTCGCGCCCGGACATTCAGAATGAGAACCGTGGAGTGTTTGTTTGAGAGATTGAGTTTTTCAATTTTTTAAATATAGGGTTAGGTAGGTAGGTAACTTTCTCTCTGGTGTGTGTGTGTTTAATCTAAGTAGGCAGGGTCAGGGCAGGACTGTCCACATTAGTTATACATCGGGTAGGCGCGTTTTCGCGTGGCAGTTCTGTTCCTGTAGTTACGATTTCGAGAGTAGAAATCTTGCTGATTCAAACGGTGTACTTGTGCTGTTTGTTTCGGCTTTATTTTCGACTCCTCGAATCGCGCGACTCTTAAAGTCGCTCTCTCGCGCTCGCGGTCGTGATCAGGCCCCTTTCGAAACGCTCGTCCCCCT